GCGGGGAGAGGTCTTCCTCACCCACAAGGCCAGCGTGGGAAGAGGTATCTCCACCCCCTCCACGTTAATGAGCTCCATGAGCGCTTGGGCTGCTGTTGGCGGCTCACGGCACGGAGGGGAGGGATGCTGGGGCTGCTGCCAGCGCGCGTGCCAAGGAGAAGGGGGAGGACGCGCCGCAGCCGAGTCCCTCCCTGCGTATCGCCTAGCACGGCAAATAAAACTACACACCCCGCTCCCTGGCTCCGGGACCCCCACTGTTCTCCCTGCCCCCAAAAATCTACTGTCCGATCCCTCGCTTGCCCCACGATAGATTTTTACCTGCTCCCTTCCCAACAGTTGCTTGCTTTCTTTTAACGTTACTGCCGAGATCTTGAGCATTTTCCAGCCGCAGCTCTTGAGGCAGGAGACAAAGGAGGACAACCCCTTGCTGCGTAACGATGAGAAATCAAGGCACTGAATACTGCAGAAATATTACCCGAGGTCACGCACAGAGCTGCCCGCAGACGGGGAATAACCCCCCAAGCCTCGAGGGACCCTCGGGGAGGTGCTCTGCCGGCGACAGGCACTGCCCACGATGCAATCTCCTCGTTAAGCTGCGGCTCTCGTCACAGAAATGCTCTTCTTCTCTGCCTCCCTCTCAGCATGCTGCCTGCTGAGGATGCTACTCAGAGCATCCAGAGAGAGAAAAAAACGCTTCACTGCCTACACCAGACCAGCACGGGGATGGAAAGAGCAGGGATGCAGGGAAAGGATGGAAAGCTCGCTAGGCAGCAAAAGAGCTTTCCAACAACGTGCATTTAATTTAAGAGCTGCCATCAGGAGCTAGGAAAGTGCTGGCCCCCAAATAAGGTGAGGGCAGCTGCCTCGCACATAAACACCCGTCGGCGCGGCTCCGGCTCGGCCCCTGACGTGCCCTGCGGCTTTCCGCATCAGATGTGACCGTGTTTGCGCGGTTAACTGCAAAGGCTGCCTCGCTTCCAGGGCTGCTCCTGCTCGGGCAGAACCATTTCCTGCATTTGATGGATCTGACAGCCCAGATGCTGCTAATGGTCTTTTCAGTGACAGGCCAAATCCTTCTCAAGGTCACCCTCCGCTGTCGAATTGAAGCAGAAAGAGGCAAGAGCAAAGTGCCAAGCACAGATGACGACTGCAGCATTCGATCAGGCATTTTGGTTGCAGCCACCCTGAGTGGCAGGAGAGCTCGAAGGAAGGCCCGGGGGGGACAGGGCTCATCCTCACTGCATGGTTAGCTGGAAGGTGCCTCCAAGCCTCGGCAGGTTCCAGGCAGCCGGTTCCTCATGCCGTGCTCTTTGCGGTAGCCTGTCTTACATCCGCTCACAGGGTCGTGCTGCTGTCCCTCTCCCATCCGTCAGCCTGGTCCGAGACTCCGCAGCCGGCCGGCCAGGCTGCTCTGGGGAGCCACGGCAGGCAGCACAGGGACATGGTGGACTCTCAGGGGACTGGAGAACTCCCTCCTGGGGAGTTACTGTCCCAGTATTTCCAGCAGCCACAGCATTTCCCTGAGCCAACACCACAGGCAGACAATGACTGGATTTTCAGATCTGAAGTGGCAAGACCAAAACTAAACTCATCAGCTTCAGTTTAAATGATGCAGCGATCGGGGATGCCTTGAGGTCCAACCAGCAGCAAACAGGAGGCGTCTAACTGCAGAGACGAAGCCTATGTCACGCCAATACCAGTGCACGCCACACTTCTTGTTACTCCCTGTTTACCAAAGCCCTTGAACACCTTGAAAAAGTCACACACACCCTACTGGGTTTCAGGAAACAAGAGCCACGACAGGGAAAGGAATTAGGGTGATGGAGAGGGGTACCCCTCACCGGGGAAAGCCTCTGCACAGTTACACCTCGCCAAGGGATGGAAAACAACCCTCCAAGCCAGCTTCCACCTTCAAGAGCTGGAGGGACGGAGCGCAGTGACGCTCCTCAGTGGCATCGAAGACCTGCTGCGTCCAACACACACAACTTCTCTGCTCCTCGCAGCCAACCCTCCGCACCCCAGCCTTACCCCGACAAACGCATTGGCAGAGTTTCGTAAGAGGCCGCTCGCCTTTCACACATGCCTTCGCGGAGCAAGGGAATAGCTAAGTGCCAACATTTACTGTCCCATCTTCAGTATCTGCGTCAGCACTTACTAAATTAAATGAGCTTGCACCAGTTACACCCCAAACATGCCTCCATGGCTCTTCTGCAAGTGCTTAGCGCTTGCACCCTTCACTCTCTCTCTCCCCTCTGCTCCAAAAGAAAAAGCAGAGTTCCTGGATAACGACTGTCCCATCCACCTCTGGGGAGCACACCTGCACCCTGTAAACCCTTCAGATCACACCCTACAAACAAGCAGGAGAGCAAAGCACAGTTACTTCTAAATAGTTTCCACATGACCACAGTGCTAGAACCTGTTTATATGTTAGCAACTACTCAAATAAGTGATGTGCAATTCACACCTGCCGCTGCCATCTCTGCTGGATAGAGAGAAGCGAGTCTGGTAACATCAGATCACATAAAATCAGAACGATTGTATCAAAGGTAAAACAATGTCAGCGTTAAAGACATAAGTTGTCCCACAAGAATGGTCTCCGCAAGATTTCAGCATCTTCAGGATGACAAAATATAAGTCTCAGAATTTGAATCTAGCTTTTTATTGCAATGATTCTGTCTACTAGCAGCTTGCGTCTTATCCCCAGGGAGAGGACAGATACTGTGGACAAAGGGACCGACCAAGTAAGCCTCCAATGATGAGCCTGTTCCTCCCCTTGCAGTGCCGGGAGCGTAACCATGCCAGCCTCCCTCCCTCACCTGTTTTCCACCCACACGGCTGGCTGTAACCAACCCGCATGCAGGACCAAAGCATCCACACTGTGCTTGCAAAAATGAGAGCTCCTGAAACCAGCTGGGCCGCAGCATGCTTTGCCCCCCACATGCCTGATGCACGCAGGAGATAGGCACCAAGAAGCTGCGACCTGCACTAGCACCACAGGTAGCCTAGGCTCTTCCTGCTCCAGGAGGTCGGAAAGCTCAAGCAGTGGTGGCCCCTCGGCAGGCTGTAAGGTGGCTGGCAGGTGATCTAGTCCTGAGGCTGGGCTTGAACCTGTTTTCCAAGGATTGTGCAGACACAGCCTTAGCAGGTAGGACTTCAAGTCAAGAAACACTTATTTCTTTAGTATGGGGGAGACTTCAAACACCTCCTCTCCTGAAAATTCGCTGTGCTGGGAGAGCACTTGTAACACCACCAACCAAGCAGGATACCTTTCCAGTCTCCTCCAGGAGATTATCTCATAGTGCCCATATCCAGACAGACTCATAAGTGGGCTACGAGAGCTATGTGCCTTCTCTCCCTGTTAGCACTAGGTGGTACTGAGCATCCTCCGCGGGCAGCCACCTTCGGGTCTGCATGGAGATGCTCTGTCCCTCCTGCACCACCCCAGGTCTACAAGTGGATGCGTCTGCTCTTGGGGAAAGAAAACACTTGATTTGCAATCTGTAACTTTGGCTTTTCAGCTAGCTGTATAACCTGGTGAAAGGCAAGTAGTTCAACGCAAAAGGCTCAAGCTTCTTCCAAGTCTCTTCCTACTGGCAGCAGAAACCAAAACAAAATAAAAATTCCAGCCACGGGCTGAAAGCCTGGAGCAGCAGAGTGGGAGTCTAGCAGGGAGCTCTGCTCTTAGAAAGTGTCGATGGGCCAACACAGAAGCAACATCGTCACAAAGCAAAAATTCAGCAACGCAATCGCCGCGGCTGAGCCGCTGGTGGGCTAAAACGGCTGCTCACCAGACTAACCCACATCATCTGGGGTTTCTCCCACCAGCCGGAGCCATGCTTTCCAAGACCAAGATTTTAAGTTCTTTGAAGCAGGATCCATCCCTGTGTTTAGTATTTGTGCAGCGCCAGCCCACTGCTGGGTAGCAGGCCAGGGCTGAGGTTCCTACATGCTGCATAGTACAGATAATATCGGTCAGCCAAATGTAAATAAATCCTAAGGGTACACTAGCAACACTGCCAGCTTAAAAAAAAAATACTTGTTTGAAATGCTTATAAAACATGCTCTTCTGACAGCTCAGCCTGTTAGAGGCGAGTGATCCTGGCGGGGGGAAAAAAAAAAGCTATCTATCACTTCATTGCAACAGCCCTGAGAGGCTCCAGTACAGAACCAGTCTCTTAGCTGGATTTCCAAAACAGCCCTTCAGCGTCATGACTCCGTGAGCACGGCAGGGCTGTGCACCTTGCAGAGATGGGCCTCTCTGTGAGTTTTAATAGACTCGCTCTTCTTCCAAAGGCCAGGAGTGATCAGATTATGGATTCATAGCTGCCATGATGAAACATCACAGTCAACTAATCCCAGGTCCGACGTCTGAGCAGCCTGCCAAAGTGCAGTTTTATGGTCATATTTTGAAAGAAGACAAAGTGGTCGTGCTTAAAAAAGCCGATACAAGAAGAGAGAGATGTCAAGTCACTATTTAAAGAAACCAAATGTGCAGAGGGGCTTCTCACGACACAAAAAATAAACTGAAGAATAAATGGCCTGAACTTCTGCCATGCTCCTGCAAAAAAATCATCATCTGAATTGGGCTTGGAGAAAGGAGAAGGGGGAAAAAAAAAAAACAAACCAGACCCTCCCTTTAAATGAATTCCCTCCTCCTGCAGCTGCAGACCTCCAACACACTGACTGCTCCGTTAACTTAACGACCAAAAAGGGAGATCCTCTTTGCCATGCTTTCAAAGCAAACAGCTTATAACCCCCTGAAAAAGAAACCGAATTAATTTACCAGCACGCACCGATGAAAAGCGCATGTGGCTAAAAAGTAATTTCAAAAAGCACCATGAGCCTCCACGTACAACTGCAAAGCTTCCAGGCGCAAAAACGCTGCACCATTATTGACGCGAGTTACAAGACGGACAGCCTGGCTTCCCGAGTCCGAGGAGAGCTTAATCAAACGTCTGTCTCCAAGTCGATCACCCAACTAGGAAAAGGAACCTCTTGGATTGCCGATACATACTTCCGAGTTTTTCTAAGTGAATATAGCTCCTGCGGACACAGGCTTTCAGCCCCAATCTCTTCTTACCATACAAAGCAAATAAATATTTTCAACATAAAACATTTTTCTATTATTAGACATCAACTGAACCACAACAACAGTTCCTGATTTCTTTTTCTCTCTCGCACAAACACCAAAGATGGTGTTTGTGATGGCAATACTGGCAAGCTATTAAAATCCTCTTCCAGCTACAGAGGGGTGCCGTGTTCCTGCTTCATCGCTGTCAAGATGTAGAGCCCAGGAATCCTCTGGCTCGCGGTGGGAATTCGCTTCTGGCCAACTGACACACGGAGACGTCACATCCCAAAGCAAAACACCCGTCGCAGACTGACTCCAGAAAAGCG